AACTTTTAGCAAGGCTCCTGCCTCAGTCTCCCTAGTGCTGGGATTACAGATATGTGCCACCACACTCAGCTGTAGATGCCAACTTCTGCTACTACTTCTTCTTTTATTTTTTGAGACAAGTTCTCATTATGCAGTTCAGGATGGTCTTGAGCTCACTTTGTAGCCCAGGCTGGTCTCAGACTTGCAACAATCCTCCGAAGTGCTGGGATTACAGATGTGCGCCACCAAACCGGGCTCTGGCTGTAGATTTTGAGACATTCCTGCCAGACCTCCTGTTGCATGCCTATAATCCCAGCATCTGAGAGGTTGAGGCAGGAGAATCATTGCAAATTCCAGGCTAACCTGGGTTACATAGTAAGTTCAAGGTCAGCCTGGACTATATAGTAAACCCCTGTGTTAAAAAAAAAGTGTAGGGTTGCAACTTACTCATTTGTGCATTTTTATAAATAATTGTTTTACAAAGTGATTTAATACAAAAATTGTATTATATTTTAAATATTAATAGCTAACAAAACACAATCTCATAGGTGCTGTGCACACGTGTGCACACATTCACCTCCCCCCACACACTCTAGTTTAGCGGGTAGAGCAGCTGTACCTGTCATGTGTGCCTGCTATGAACAGCTTTCACATGGCTTTGCCCTGAATGACTCTATTTCCTCACACAGCAGTGAGCTGCATTTCAGGTACAAATTCTGAGGCAGGATGACTCAGTAACTTGTCTGTGCAAATAGATGGACATACCCAATTTGTCACAAAGAACAACTCCCGAGGACTGGGGGATTTAGCTTAGTGGTATAAACATCTACCTGGCAAGCATGAGGTTGTAAGTTCGATCCCTGGTACCAAGAAAACAAAACAAAAAAACAACCCAGCTGGACAGCACAATCACAAGGCATAAATGGGTAAATAAAATAATCTTGCCAAAAATAGGAGCCACCTGTAAACGTATCATATTAAATCAAGGACAGACAAATGATTGATGTACCTAAATTATGTCAGACAAAACCAGGCCTGCAAGCTTATCTGATGAACCAGGCCAACAAATGACACAAATCCCTCTCCCAGATCATAGAGAGGAGGGTCCCCCGGCATTCTGTGGCAGTGTCACATTGACTCATCCTCTTGTCAGACCACCTGGTGAACACATCACAAGCTCAGCTGGCTGTAAAATCTGGCTCTCCCAGCCCCAGCTTCAGCTCAGCTCCATCTCACTGCCTGACACCGCCCACTGGAACAGCCTGCTGTCCCTACTTGGCTGTGAACCAACTCTGCTCTCGACAAGTCCCTTACCTCCTTTGAAAAGCTCTGCTTGGTCTTTACATCTTTGTTTTTTTCCAGACAGGGTCTCTCTATGTAGTTCAGCCTAGCCTTGTACCTCACTACATATGGCTGGCCTCAGACTCATAATAATCCTCCTGCCTCAGCCTCTAGAATGCTGAGATCACAGGTGGAGCCACACCAGGCTCCAGTCTGTAATCTGATTTAGCCATCTGGCAACTTTTCACTTCTCTGTAGATTCTCTGCCTTGTTTTAAAGTTATTCCTCTTCTTAGGAAGTGATTACAGGAAGTCATGTGGGCTTTGTCCTCATGTTTGTGTCTTTCCACAGTGCCAAAAATTCATCAGATTATGGGGAGCCAGAGATTTAGCTCAGCGACACAAGGGCCTGCCTGGCAAGCTTGAGGTCATGAGTTTGATTCCTGGTACAAAAAAAAAATTCATTGAATAACAATAAATTCACAAGCTACCTAAATTTCATCAGCTTCATCAGTCCAAGTACTCACAGTTCACCCCACAGCCAACAAGCTAGACAATCACAGATTTTTTTTTTTTTAAGTCAGGTCTCACTATGTAGCCCAGGCTGGTCTCAAACTTGCAGGGATCTTTCTGCCTCCTGAGTGCTGGAAACATGCATATACCACCATACCGGCTATCACGGATTTTTTTTATTATTCCAATCTTAATTATCTGAAACATTCAGCCTCCAGAGGTATGAGAAATAACTTTATGTTGTTTACAAACTAGCCAGTCTCAGGTATTTTTGCTATAGCTGTGGGAAGGGCTAAAACATCTGCTATATACTCTCCCTCAATACCAATTTCTTGCTAGGAGGTATTTCAATACAAATTATTTGTGCAATTATCTTTTTGCAATTATTTTTAAATTTCTTTTTTCCTTATAAATGCCTTCTTCCCTATAAGTCCCTGTCTACCTGGTAAAAAAAAAAAATTGTTAATATTCGTAGAAAAAACATGGACTAAATGAAAAGGGTGAGAGGGCAAAGGTGGGTCTGGAGTCTTGGCGCGTAGGTGAGGGGAGGTGGGAGGAGGCTGGAGCTGGGTTTGGAGGTTTTTGGGCCTCCAAATCCAGCTTGGGAAGAAAATGGGAGAAAGGAATGCAGGTGCTTAGTTTGTAAGCAGAATCTGCAAAAGAGAGTCAACAGACTCTTACATATCCCCCTCGTGTATATCACTGCATTTTTCTATTTTTTTTCCTTGCCTGGATTTCAGCAACGTTCCAAACCTTCAGAATTGCTTTGTCTCTGAGGTTGCCTCCCAAGTTTCCTCCTTATCTCTTGGGGCTTCAGATGCAGAAGTCTGACAGTTCATCTGGAGCAGTTCCTGGCCTGGCTCAGAGGATTGTGTACATCTATCTGTACAGCTTGGCACAGAGCCCCACTACATTTGGGCAGATCCTGTACCCTGCTGCCTGGGCTTACGACAGACAACAGGCTATGGGAGCCTGGCTTTCTGCCCCTGCTAAGACAGGGCCCCAGGCTCCATGCTGAGCTAAGGTCCAGGTCCAAAAATTACGAGTTGCCAAAAGAAATAGATTATAATGTGGTGGTTAAGATCTCCCTTTGGGCTTACGTGGGTCTGAAACAGAATCCCAACTCTGCTACCAACTAACTGTGTGAGCTTGAAGTTGTCCTCATTTAACCTCAGAAGAGGAAATTAATAGCCGGTTGAGTGGCTGATATGAATCGAGAGAGAAAATTTATAAAATACTTGGCCCACAGTAAACACACCATGAGTAGTAACAATTATAATTCAACACAGAGACTCTATTGTCTGTGTCCCTGGTGGAGGCCACCAGAAAAAAAATAGGATCTGAAGTGTCAACACACTCGATGGTGCCACTAGAACCACTGGTACTACTGTCCCCATCACCAGAAAGTTTCCCCATAATCCCTGCTTGTTCTTAGAGCTATCTTTTAATTCCGAACCTGGGCCAGTGTCCTTGGTTGTAAGCGAGACTAAACAGATTGAACCAGTGAGGAATGGGAATGTTTTTTGCCTGCAGACAACAGAAGACTTGACTGCTATAAGAAAAATGGAGATGGGCAGTTTTACTAGCTCAGTAACAGCAGAGCTAATATCTCTGTGTAGTTGCTAGTTTAAGCTTGTACCATCAATCCTGTTTAAGCAAAGGGGAGAAGGGAAATGTAGCGATTGAAATTGGGAAGCTAAAGTTTTCTCACAAAGCACGCTCTGCTTCCCATCTCATACCTACAGCTAGTGCAAATAAGAAGCTCCCCTTCCTTGAATCTTGGAGAGTGGGGTTTTTTTTGCAGGGGGAGGAGTACTTGGGATTAAACCCAGGATTATGAAAAGAACTACATCCTAGCCCTTTTTATTATTTTGAGACAGGATCTCACTAAGTCACTAAATTACCCAGGCTGGTCTTGAACTTGAGATCCTCCTGCTTTTGCTTCCCAGAGTACTAGGATTACAGGCACAAGTCCCATACCTGGCTCAGAGCATTGTATCTGAAATGCAATCTGCAGTGTTGCTGAGGGTCTACAGAAGGCCTCAATCCAGTTGCCCATAGCAGTAACCACTCATTCACAAACCCTGTATTGGCTTTTCCTCTCCCTCAACTCACTTGTCTCAGAGAATCCACACTAAAGTGAATGGCAGTGACTGGGTCTACTATGCTAGGATAGTGACAGTGCAGCATTGTCAGCTTTGGTAAGATAAGGTGTGCTCTCTCTTGTGTCTCTCTTGTATCTCAAAAGGAATGCAGATGCTGAGTGTCCAATGAGAATGATAAATTTCCATTAGCATAAACCTTTGTAAACTGGTGGCACATGCCTGTGACCCCGGCAACACAGGAGGCTGAGAGTGGGGGGATTGCTTGAACCCAGGGGTTTTGAGGCCGGTCTGGGCAATATAGTGAGACCTTGTCTCAAAACAACAGCAAATGAATAAACAACATTTATTGCCCAGTATCAACATATAACTTTCAATATTTACCCTTCAAACACCAAACAAAACACAATTCCAAACTCAAACAATCTTTCCTTTCGTAACCTAAGCAGTACTCACTATGGTGGTGCAAACTTGTAATCCCTGCTACTCAAGAGCCTGAGGCAGGGTTGCAAGTTCAAGAGGGACCCTGTCTCAAAATAAAATAAAATAAAATAATAAAAAAGGGTGGATGGAGCTCAGTGGTAGAATAATTTCCTAGCATATGCGAGAGCCTGACTTTGATCCCTGGTATCATGAGACAAAAACAAAAAGCTCTCACTATATTCCCCTACTATCCCAAAAAAGAAATCAAGCCAAATTCTTATCAGATACTTTACCCAGCAATGATTTCAGAATCTCTAAATAATATTCATTCTTTCTTCAGTTCCATAATGATCCTACTTCAGTGTTCAACAGTCTAAGCTTTAAAGATAACTACTAACTGGGTAACAAACCCTAACCATATTGGAGAGAGGAAGGGAAAGGAATGAATAACATTTTTAGCTGAAAGGACAAGAAAACTTTGTTTTGTTTGTTTTCATCTCACTTTGTAGTCCAGCCTGGGTAGTCAAACTCATGTAATCCTCCTGCCTCAGCCTCCTGAATGCTGAGATTACAGGCATGTGCCCCCAAGCCCAGCTAAGAAATCTTTCTGTAACTGATCACAAGGTCTTAGTTGGTAGCTTGGACTGCAGTATCTGATAGGTTTTTCCCTTGGCCTGGTAGGAAAACAAGCGAAAAGAAAGGATAAAAAGAAAAAGGCCTTTATTGTGGGCACAGGAGGACTACAATACAACGCGAGTTCCTCCTTGAGGCAGACAAAGAAGCAAAGGGCTTTTATTAGGTTTGACAGGGGGTGAAATTTGAAGGGACAGGCAGAATGACATATCAACAGCTGATTGGGGAAATTTTAGTGCACATGTGAAAAACAGGAAGTTCAATCTTGGCTTGGAAGAACCCCGTGGAAGTCAGTATTAAAGAAATGCACTGTCCAGCACCACGCTGGCAGGCACTATGCTGAGCCTGGCTCTGTGTCACATGTGGAACCCATCATTCCCATCTTTTAGACTGCTTCCTGCTAAATGGAGATGTCATGGTAGTCATGCTCTGGCATGGTTGTCAGGATGACAGTTGTCACTCATATAGAAGCTGATGGCAGGAGTCTAAGCCAGGTGGTAAGTGTCCATAGCCTGGATTGAAGAAAATTCCAAAAAAGTTTAAATAGACAAGGAGTTATAAGCAAAAAACAAAACAAAACAAAACAAAACAAAAAAACAAATATTATGAAGAGGTTCCCCCAGGGGGAGAAGATATCAGGCTCAGCCTCCTAGGGAAGACCCGATGAGATGGTCAGAGGCCTCCTTGGTTTTAGAGGCAATATATTTGTGGCTTTTTTTTTTAACCTTATCTATCACGATATCTGATTGTTTAACAAAGTAACTGTTGTACTTCCCCAAAAAGACCGCTGAGATGAAAAATGGGGCAAAACCCCTGAGATGGAAAAGATGGGGCAGAATGACGTCATTTTTAGGAAGAAGCCCTTTTATTTTAGCTGGCCCAGCGACACAGTGCAGATGGAATTTACAAACTGCAACTGAGTTAGAGTTTTGACTGATTTTTATAGTTCATTTATGATTAGTTCATTGATCATTAATTACAGAGTGATGAGAAACAGAAATAAGGTGGGCCTTTGTTCCCCTTTGCTTGAGGTCAGAGGCATTTCACAGTGGGTGGTGAGCCAACTCATAGCCCTTGGTCTGCCAATTTCAGGAACATTTGTCTCTCATAAAGGGAACAGTGGTTGACACAGCATCATTTGTCTCTTACAAGGGGAACAAAAGCTGACATAGCACACAGGTTACTAAGGTGGGGGGGGGATGACGCATTACAGAACAGCATAACGACACGGTCAGTTAATTTATAACTATGTGGTTGGTGCTTGGTTACTAGGGTAACGAGCTCAGTACAGAATGACAATATTGCTAATAACTATCTTTTTAAGTAACTATTTTTGTTAATTATCTTTTAATCAATTATTTTAAGTTTTTAGTGTCTTAGTATAACAATAACAGCTTTTTTTTCTAGCATGACACAGGTACCCCCCCCCTTCTTATATATCCTGAGTATATTTTTCTGCTGGATGTTTAAGACCAAGTTAAATTGAGACCTGTACTAATTAAAACTAACCTCTTGCTGTCTATCAAGGTCAGTTAAGTCTCTTCAGGCTTTGTCCTGGAACCATATATAAAGCCTCTCAGTTCTTGGCAGTGTCAGCCATCAGAATAAGTCACAGCCATTGCTTGACCAAGTTGCTTTCTGTGAAAATTTGGGAGATTTTTTTTTCTTCTGGTGGCTGTCTTTAGGCTTACTATATATCATAGATCATACTTTTTTGTGGTCACATAATCTCCTTGATCAGAAGACCAGGGACTCCCAGAGTTATGGGATTTTGTTGTAGAGGTTCTTTTTTTATATCTTGAGTCTTCTTTGACCTTAGAGGGCTGAAGCTACAATATTGGTTATCCTCCTAGCCCATCTATCTTTTTAGTTTTGAATCTTCAAATCTCATCTGTTGAACATCCAGAAGAAAAGACTGATAATATTACAATATAATAAGGTAATAAACTTAATATTAGAAGTACCTGCCTTGCAAGCAGGTGGTCGTGAGTTCGATCCCCAGTTCCGATAAAAAAAAAATAAACTTAATACTATTACCTTTTCTGAATATTGAGCACCTCAGAACATAAAATAGAACCATTATTTTTTATCAGTCATGGATTTTCTCATATTTAAATCCTTGTAGGATATTAACAGTTACATATTTTACACAGAAAATTTGAAATCAATACCATAGCTAATATTGTAGCATGACAATTATGGTGTTTTATAACAATTTGAATTTACATTTTGACATAAAATACCCTTTTTAGTCAATCATCCCTATCTAATACATAAAAAGTTTTACCTAACTTGTTTACCTTTAGTGGGATGTACATCTCATAAATTTTTATTACAGGCATAGGTCTGAATCTGAAACAAAATTTTGTCAGACAATCTCTGTTTCACATTTTGTTGAAGACCCATACACATGGAAGCATGAATACATTAATACACCATGAAGTTAATAACAATCTGTCAGAGCATCTTTAAATGAAAAGTCTTATTGTATTATTTTTTTTGACATGGACCAATACAGCCATATTACAACTATATATTGTCTTTTTCTTTTTTATCGGTACCAGGGATCAAACTCACAACCACACGCTTGCAAGGCAGGTGCTTATGCTGCTGAGCTAAATCCCCAGTCCCCTCAATAATATATTCTAATATATTAGAATAACTAACAACTAGTTATTCTAATAACTAGTTGAGGTGTTTACCATAAGGGTATAGAAATCTTTGGGGCCTCCAATCAGTGAATAAGAACTGGTTAAATGTTACCAGGTGGACACTTTCTTATTCATCAGTTGAAGTCCTATCCAATAATCTCTCCCTGTCCTAAAGGATTCTGTTTGTCTTAATAATTTTAATGACTTATGAAAAACTCAATCACAACATTTAACATTATTTTTGAACAATTAGAGACTATCAAGTCATGATGCATAAACAACATTATACATTAAATTTATATAACCAACTATAGCATCATTTTGACCAGCTGGCAACCCAGGGGAAGCATGTTTTTAGGTCTATAATCCATATGAAATTCTAAACAAATGATCTAAAAATTGAAAAGAAAGAATAAACATTTTTAAGCTCAAATAAAAAATAGCTGTTTATGGATATGACAAACCAACAAACATACGTAGACAACCTGTACAGATTGAACAGACATAACAACACATATGCAGCTTAAAGACAAGCACCTTACAAAAATCAGAGTGCACTCAAATATATTTGGCCGATTTGAATTATAATAACTCGTTTATAGTTTTACATTTATAAGTATAAAGACACTTTTTATAAGAACCTTTTTATAGATCAATTAACAGAGGTCTCTTGAAAAAAAGAATAAAACCTTTTATACCTGTGAAAGCAAAGACAGTTTTTAAAGCAAAGACAGCTATTAGGAAATCATAGGAATTAATTACAAATTGGAGGTCTTTGACATGATTACATGGGAAGGACTCTAAGCACTGTGAGAAAGGTCAGAGAGGGAAAAAGGACATGAACACAGACCAAGTCTTTAATGCCAGTCATCTTGCAGACAGAAAGGAGAGTGACTTTCGGAGTGAGTGACATTTTGAAGGAGATTGGGGCATTAAGATAGCAGAAGTCGTCTAGGTTGTGGAAGGTAGCATAATAGAAGATACTCCTCTCTGGCCAGTGACAGGCATTACCAAGCTTCTGTCCAGGCTGTCTGGCAGTACATGTGTCTTTTGTGGGGTGAGAAGAAATATTTCCCACTGTGGCTAGGGAGCTGGAGGCTACAAAAGCCAAGCCACAATCCCTTGGGGAGTCATCACCCTTTTCAGGATTGTGTGGGAAAGAAATACTCTGTAGATCCCCAACACCTTACCCGACAGTCATCACCAAGGGAACAAGGGGGAAGTCTAAGAGGACAAGGTCCCAAAGAATGTGGGGGAATCCTGATGTGAGCCCACAACTTATGAGACAGGAACCCCGAAACAAAAGAATTGAGGTGGGTCAGTATTGGATAGAAGCCAGTAACTGCAGTGGCAGAAATGAGAGAAGGAGGAAAAACGGAGGCCAGAAAAAAGCAGAGAGGTAGCTCATTGACTGGGGGAGCTCAAACGGGGGCGGGAGGTAGCCCAGGAGCCACTTGCCCTGTCAATCTAAAATTTTGGTTACAGAACCAAAAATGATAGATTTTTCCTTGGTGTGGTAGAAAAGCAAGCACAAAGAGAGGAAAAAAAGAAAGAGGTCTTTATTGCGGGTATGGGAGGGCTGCGGCAGAGTGCAAGATCCCTTTTGAGGCTGACAAAGAACTAAAGGGCTTTTATTCGGTTTGACGGGGTAGATTTTGAAGGGGTGGACAGAATGATATATTGACAGCTTTGGGGGAATGTTAGCATATGTGTAAAAAGCAGAAAGTTCAATTTTGGCTTAGAAGAACTCTGTGGAAGTCAGTATGGAGGGATGTGCTGTCCAGGGCTGCGTTGGACAGGCACCACACTGAGCCTGGTCATGCCTCGAAAGTGGAACCCATCAGTATCCACCACCTACTCCACGTTCTCTTTGTAGGAAGCACTTCTTCAGTGCACAGGGGTCATCTCAATGGGAAGAGAAAGGACATAAACAGAGGCATGCCACTGTTTTTTTAAAAAGGCCCTGATCTGCACCTGCCTTGCAAGCAGGTGGTTGTGAGTTCAATCCCCGGTACGGATAAAAATGAAAAAGAAAAAAAAATTTTTAAAAAAAGGCCCTGATCTGGAAACAGCAGCTATTGTTTCCATTTACATTTGATCAAATAGAATTTAAGCATACAATGGTATTCACATTGGGGATACCATTAAGTTTTCCCAGGTAACCAAATCTTCTTCCTTAAAGGATGAGAGACGGCAGTGAAATGGTCTGTGTAATCGTCCCATGATTCTCATTAGTTTTTAGCTCTGGATGTAACAGAACTGGGCAGAAGCCCTGGTATCTCCTGGATTATCACCAGAACCCTCCCTTCTGTCACACTTCTCTTGTTTGCTAATGAGCCTACTATTGTAACCAGCAGTATGCAGATAAAGTTTAATAACAGATTCTGGGGTATGTGAGGCTCATTTATAGTATTTTCCATTTCAGATGTTAACAGTCCCACCACAGCTAGTTTTTTATTTTTCCTGGCACTGGAGATTACATTCAGGAACCTTGCACGAGTTCTGTTATTATTTTTTATGTATGTGCTTATTTACATTTTGCAACAAGGTCTTACTAAGTCAGTAGATTGCCCAGACTGGACCCAAACTTTTGCCCTCCTGCCTCAGCCTCCCAGAGCACTGGGATTACAGACATGTACCACCATACTTGGCCTGCCATGGCCAATTTTTTTTTTTTTTTTTTTTGGAGACAGGGTCTCGCTATGTAGTGGAGGCTGGCATTGAACTTCGGCCAGCCTCAGATTTAAATCCTCCTGCCTCAGCCTCCTGAGTGCTGGAATTACCAGTATGTACCACCACACTCAACAACCATGGCCAATTTTAACCTACTAAAATTATGTCACTGAATGTATCGTCAAGAA